CCCTCCAATACCCCCCAGTATCCCCAGTCCCCCCCACTCCCTCCCAGTCCCCCCAGTATCCCCAATTCCCCAGTCCCCCCAGTCCCTCCCAGTATCCCCAGAGCTCCCAGTCCCTCCCACTCCCCCCACTCCCCCCAGTCTCTCCCAGTATCCCCAATCCCCTCCCAGTTCCTCCCAGTCCCCTCCAGTCCCTCCCAGTATCCCCAGTATCCTCAGACCCTCCCAGTCCCCCAAGTCCCTCCCGGTTTCCCACTCCTCCCAGTCCCCCTAATCCCTCCCAGTCCCTCCCAGTATCCCCAGCCCCCCAGTCCCCCCAGTCCCTCCCAGTGCTCCCAGTCCCTCCCAGTATCCCCACTTCCCCCAGGCCCTCCCAGTCCCCCTTACTCCCTCCCAGTATCCCCACTCCCCATAGTTTTCCACTCCCCCCAGTCCCTCCCAGTCCCCCCAGTCCCTCCCAGTATCCCCCAGTCCCTCCCAGTCCCCCCAGTCCCTCCCAGTGCTCCCAGTCCCTCCCAGTATCCCCACTTCCCCCAGGCCCTCCCAGTCCCCCTTACTCCCTCCCAGTATCCCCACTCCCCATAGTTTTCCACTCCCCCCAGTCCCTCCCAGTATGCCCAGTCGCTCCCAGTGCTCCCAGTCCCCCAAGTCCCTCCCGGTTTTCCACTCCTCCCAGTCCCTCCCAGTCCCTCCCAGTCCCTCCCAGTATCCCCAGTCCCTCCCAGTCCCACCTCGCAGGCTCCGTGCCGCGGGTGCTGCCGCAGCCTCACGGGTGACGCCACCTCCTCCGAGGATGTCCCCGAGGGGGGGTCGCTCTCCCCGTCCGACCCCATCCGGGCCTCGTCCCCCCCCGGCTCTGGGGGCACAAAAGGGGGGTCAGGGACCCCAAAAACACCCAAAGTATCCCCAAAAATACCCCAAATATCCGCCAAATTCCTCAAATATCCCAAAATATCCAAAAATCTCCTAAAATCCCCCTCCCCCCCCGTCTGACCCCATCCGGGCCTCGTCCCCCCCCCAGCTCTGGGGGCACAACAGGGGGTGGTCAGGGACCCCGAAATATCCCAAAAATACCCCCAAATACCACAAAATACTCCCAAACCACCCCAAAATACCCCAAATCACCCCAAAACCTCCCCTTTCCAGTCCGACCCCATCCAGGCCTCGTCCCCCCCCGGTTCTGGGGACACACAGGGGAGTCAGGGACCCCAAAATATCCCAAAACATCGCAAAAATACCCCAAAACCACCACAAAACACCCCCCAAAAAACCCCCAAACTGAAGGGAACCCTTGGGACCCCTCAGTGTCCCCAAGGTGTCCCCAAAGCCTCTCCCCAGGGACCCACAATGTCCCCAAGGGGACCCCCAAAGGACAACCCCAAACCCCAGGGACTCCCTCAATGTCCCCAAGGACCCCGCAAATGTCCCCAATGTCCCCAAAACCCTCCCAAAATCAAGGGATCCCCAAAGGACCCCCCTAAACCCCCACAGGGACCCCCTCAATGTCCCCAAGGGTCCCCAGGGAGTCCCCAATGTCCCCAAGAGCCCCTGAAAGGAGCCCAAACCCCAAGGACCCTCCCCAATGTCCCCAAGAACACCCCAAAACCCTGTCAGGGACCCCCTCCAATGTCATTAATGTCCCCCCCAATGTCCCCAAGGACCCCCAAAATCCCCCAATGTCCCCCCCCAAATGTCCCCAAGGACCCCCCCCAATGTGCCCAAGGACCCCCAAACCCCTGAGACCCCCAAAAATTCCCCCAAACCCCCCCCAGTGTCCCCCCCCGATGTCCCCAAATGTCCCCAAGGACCCCCGAACCCCAGAGACCCCCAAAAATTCTCCCAAACCCCCCCCAGGGACCCCCCCGATGTCCCCAGAGGTCCCCGGGGGTGCCACCCCGTGCCCCCCCCCAGTTTGGGGACAGGGAGGTGACACGGGGACAGAGCACAGGTGGTGGCACCGGGGACAGGTGGTGGCACCTGGGGGGGGCACAGGGGACAGGACACGGGGACAGATGGACGGACACGGGGGGGGGGCAGGGGACAGATGGACAGGAGGGGACACGGGAGGGGGGGGGGACAGGAGGGGACCCCCGGCTCTTAAAGGGGCCACGTCCTGCCGGGGGGAGGGGGTGTTCTTAAAGGGACAGGCACCCCAAAACTGTGCCCCCCCGGCTTCTTAAAGGGACAGGCACCTCAAAATGTGCCCCCCCCCCTTAAAGGAACAGACACCCTCTTAAAGGGACAGGTACCCCATAAAAAGGCCAGGTACCCTCTTAAAGGGCTAGGAACTCTCTTAAAGGGACAGTACCCCAAAACTGTGCCTCCCCCCCACTTCTTAAAGGGACAGGCACCCTCTTAAAGGGACAAGTACCTTCTTAAACGGATAGGTACGCTCTTAAAGGGCCAGGCACCCCTTTAAAGGGCCAGGCACCATCTAAAAAAGATAGGTACCCTCTTAAAAGGACATGCACCCTCTTAAAGGGCCAGGTACACTCTTAAACGGACAGGCACCCCTCAATCTCCTCCTGCCACCCCTAAAGATTTTAAAGGGCCACGCACCCCCAACCCTACCCCCATCTTCTTAAAGGGCCAGGCACCCCCAACCCGCACCGTCTTAAAGGGCCAGTTCCCCACTTTGTGGGGGCGGGGCCAGCTCCGGGGGGGGCGGGGCTCCCCTTAAAGGGCCAGCGCTCACCGCTGTCGCTGCCGGTGCCGTCGCGAGGGTCCCCCAGGGCCTTGTCGGGGGCGCGGCCGCCCCGCAGCGTCATGGAGAGCTGCCGCTTGATCTTCTTCATCCGGTCCATGGCCCTGCCCTGCGGGCACCTCAGCGTGGGCACGGCTGGCACACATGGGCACAGCTGGAGCCACACTGAACACCTGGGCACACCTGGGCATCCTGGGGTCACTGTACGCCTGAGCGCCCTGCACATCTGGGCACAGCTGAGTGTGGGCATGCACACCTGGGCACAGCTGGCACACCTGGGGTCACTGCACACCTGAGCATGGGCATGCACACCTAGGCACACCTGGGCAGCCTCGGGGTCACTGCACACCTGAGCTGTGGGCACACCTGCCTGGGCACAACCTGGGCACACCCGAGGTCACTGCACACCTGAGCGCCCTGCACGCCTGGGCACACCTGGGCACCCCTGAGCTATGGGCACAGCTGGAGCCACCCTGCACACCTGGGCACACCTGGGCACAGTTGGACACAGCCTCAACACCCAGGGTCACTGCACACCTGAGCCGTGGGCACGCCTGGGCACACCTGGGGTCACTGCAAACCTGAGCGCCCTGCGTGCCTGGCGACACCTGGGCACCTCTTGCACATTGGGCACAGCTGGGGCCACCCTGCACAGCTGGGCACAGCTCAGCACACCTGGGGTCAGTGCACACCTTAGTGCCCTGCACACGTGGGCACACCTGGACTCACCCTGTACACTTGGGCACACCTGGACCCACCCTGCACACCTGGGCACACCTGGGCACCCCCTCCCACCCGGGCACACCTGGGCACCCCTGGGTACATCCGGGCACCCCCTGCACACCTGGGCACACCGGGCCCCTCCCCCTCTCCCCCCCCACACCTAGGCCCCCCGCGGCGCCCCCCACTCCCCCCAGTGGTGCCCCGCGTGCCCCGCGTGGGCGTGGCCTCCTCCCCCTCCCCCCCGCTGCCCTCACAGCGGCTCCGGGAGCTCCCAGGGGGGATCCCGGTGATTCCCGGTGATCCCCGGGATGTTCCCGGTGCTCCGGGGCGGTTCCCGTTACCGGCTCAGCGGCGCGGAGCCTCCCAGAAATCCTCGGCCATGGCGGGGCCGGGCCCGACCCCGCGGGGGCTCCGGTGGGGCCGGGCCGGGCCGGGCCGGGCGGGAGCGGCGGGAGCGGCGGCGGCGCAAGATGGCGGCGGGGCGGGGCCAAGTGACGTCGGAGCGAGGGGCGGGGCGACGGGCTGGAGGGGCGTGGCTAAGTGGAGAGTGACGTAAGGGTGAGGGGAGGTGCGATAAAACAGGAGGGGCAGGGCTAAGAGGCGGATGACGTCATTGTGGGGCGGGATAACGTGCTTGAGGGGCGGAGCTAAGTGAGGAGTGACGTCAGCGCAAAGGGTGGGAAGAAGGGGATGAAAAGGAGGCGGGGCTTATGAGGACGCGCCCCCCCGAAGGGGAGGGGGTCTCAGGGGGTGGGGTCTGTTTGGGACCGCCCCCAAACCCCCAAAAGAGGAAATGAGGGAGGGGATTCCCTTAGGGGAATCCCCACCCCCAATGACGTCACAGCTGGGCTGGGGACCCCTTCCCCCAGCTCCATCTGGGCCCCTCCCCCACACCACAAAACCACCAGGGCCCCGCCCCCCCAGTGGCCCCGCCCCTCAGACGGAGGGGGCGGGGACAACCCCAAAGAGGCTCCACCCCCTTTTGGGGGGCTCCAGGGTTACTCCAGGTTTACTCCACAGCCCAGAACACCACAGGGCTTCTCTGAAGTTACTCTGAGCTTACTCAGGGGTTACTCCAGCCTCAGAACGGGGTGTTCCAATGGGTCCTCAAGGTTACTCAAGGGTAACTCAACGGGTTACTCTGAGTTTACCCATGTGTTACTCCACTACTGCCCTGCAGTCACTCCAGGGTTACTCTGACCTCACCTCCAGGGTTAGTCTGGGTACTCCAGGGTTACACCCAGACCCCTCCCCCTGCTGACATAACCCTCACAGTTTACTTATAAACTACTCCAGGGTTACTCCAAGCTCCCTCCCGTGTGCCAAACACCTCCCGCACTCCAAGCTTTACACACACATCAGTCCAAGGTAGAAAAAAAATCCACTTTACTCCACATTTACACACAGGTTACATCAAGATGTAAAAAAAACCCCACTTTACTCCGGCTTTTACACAGCTTACTCCCAGATGTAAAAACTCAGTTTTACTCCAAGTTTACTCCAAAGTGTAAAAACTCCGATTCACTGCAGGTTTACACCCAGGTTACTCGCAGGTGTAAAATCTCCACGTTACTCCAGGTTTACACCCAGCCGAGGGGGCGGGGCCAGCGCAGCGTCCGTCAGGGGTCAGAGGTCACAGGGGGCTCCTGCAGCCCCTGCAGCTCCCGCAGGCCCTGGGGGCGGAGCAGAGCGTTGTGGGCATGGCCAGCAGGGGAGGGGGCGTGGCCAACACGCGAGGGGGTGTGGCCAGAGGAGGGGGCGGGGTTACCTCCAGCACCAGCCGGATGTGGGCGCGGATCTTGGCCCCGTCGCGCGTCAGGGAATCGCTCAGCCTGAAATGGGCGGGGCTTTAGGGGGCGGGGCTTCCATGGGAGGGGCATATGAAGGGTGGGGTCTCTCAAGTGGGCGTGGCCTGATGATTGGCAGGGTGAGGCCGCACCCTTTTCTATTATGAGGACTAGGGATGCGTCTTCCCCTCATGGTGTGGGTGTGGCTTAGGTAGTGTGGGCGTGGCTTGATGAATAGCACTCCTCTTTTGGTCATGGGGGTGGGAATGTGATCTCCATTTATGGTATGGGGGTGTGGTCCAAAAGGGGCGTGGAAACCTCCTCCCACCCCAAACGCTGAAAGAATGAGGGCGTGGCTTAAGTGGGTGTGGTCGAAAGGGGGCGTGGCCAGCTCCCACCCCAAACACAGCGGAGAATGGGTGTGTGGCTTCTCAAAGGGGCGTGGCCTAAGTAGGTGTGGGCCAAAAAAGGCATGGCTTTCCCAAGGGGGTGTGGCCTCCATGGGTGTGGTCTCAAAAGGGGCATGGCCTGTGCTCATGTGGGCGTGGCCACAGCAGAATGACCGAGGATCAATACCCTACCCAGCACCATGGGGTGTGTTGGGGGGCTGTGGGCGTGGCCTGGGTGTGGCCGGGGGCGTGGCCAGGCTGCCTCACCTCTGCAGGAGGGAACTGCGGCGCTCCAGGTGCCGAAGGGCCTCAGGCAGCGTCAGCTCCGCGAAGAACCCGAACCCCAGAGCCACGAACACGCGCCGGGGGTCCGGGCTGGGGGCACAGGGATGGCAAAAACAGGGTCAGGGAGGGTCCTGAGGGGGTTAATGGGGGTCTGAGGAGGTTTTTGGGGTCCCAGCCCCACTCACACTTCAGCACTGACGAAGAAATTGCAGCCGAGATCCACCTGGGTGTGCAGGGGGGCGGCGGCGTCCTGGGGACCCCAAAACCCCCCCGGGGTCAATCTGAGACCCCAAACAGCCCCAGGGACGCCAAATCTCAACCCCCAAACAACCCCAGGGATCCCCCAAACATCCCAGGGACCCCAAATCTCAACCCCCAAATCTCTCCAATGCCCCCAAATCTCCCTTAACCCCCCCTCAAGATCCCCCAATTACCCACATACACATCAAAACACCCCCAAATCCTCCCATGAGACACCCAAACATCCCTCCCCAAACCCTCCTAAATCCTCCCAACTCTCCCCCAGGAGACCCCCAAATCCCACCTAATTCCCTATGAGACCCTCAAATCCCTGGAATCTCCCCCAAACCCCCCAATGAGAACCCACAACCCCCCCCAAACACATGCAAATCCCCCCAAAACCCCCCCAGAAGCCTCCCAAATCCCACCTAACCCCTCATGAGACCCCCAAATCCCCCCCAGTAGACCCCCAAATCCCCCAAACCACCCCCACGAGACCCCCAAATCCTACTTTACTCCCTATGAGACCCCCAAATTCCCCCAATTGCTCCCAAATCCCCCCACGAGACCCCCAAAATCCCCCCCAAACCCCCCTAAACACCTTCAAATCCCCCCAAACCTCCCCCAACCACCCCACCCCACCTCACCTCCTCATGACCCCCCAAACCTCCCTCCAGCCCCCCCAATCCCCTCCAGATCCTGCCCCGCCCCCTCCCCAGCCCTGACCACGCCCCCCTCGTTAAGCCCCGCCCCCTCGTTAAGCCCCGCCCCCCTGCGCACCTGCAGGCGGCTGAGGGCGGAGCGGAGCTGCAGCACCTGCGCCTGCTGCTCGAACACGGCGTCGCGCTGCTCCTGCACCCGCCTGCGGGGGGCGCTGTCAGGGGCGGGGCCTCACGGGGGCGGGGCCTCGCGGGGGAATGGCCGTGGCCATGACATGGGGTTGCTATGTGGCAGAGGGGGCGTGGTCGAGAAATGGGCGTGGTTTACAGTCAATGGGCGTGGCCACATTATGCAGAAGTTAAAGGGCGTGGCGTCTGCGTGAAAGGGCGTGGCCACAACACATTGTTACTACGTGGAGGTAGACTTAAAGCGGAGGGGCGTGGTCGAAAAATGGGCGTGGTCTTATGATGAATGGGTGGGGTTGAGTCGGGGGCGTGGTCTCATTGTGAATGGGGGTGGCCACCCCACGCAGTTATTATTAATTGTGAGACAGATAAGGGGCGTGGCCAAAAATGGGCGTGGTCTCAGCGTCAATGGGCGTGGCCACCCCACGCCGTTACGGATGTTGCGCAGAGGGGCGTGGCCATAGCGCTGAGGGGAGGGCCAGGCTGTCGCGGGGGCGGGGTTTCTGTCGCGATATGACGTCGCTTACCTCAGATCTCGCTGCAGGACGTCGCTGACGAACGCCTCGTAGCGCTGCGCCTTCTCCGCCGCCGCCATGCTGCCTCTGACGTCATCACCGGAAGTGCGTCATCATAGCGCTGCCGCTTGTAGGGCGCCCCCTCGCGGGCGGGAGGTCCCAGCTCCGTCCTTCCCTTCATTCCCCGCCTCTATCGCGGTCGCATGTCGCGACATGCCCGCGCTCTATCGGCGATCAAAGCTTCCCGCGCGCAGAGTGCGGCCGGAACAGCGCGGCCTGAGCTCCCCCCAGCCTGTATCTGCCACAGGTGAGCCCAGGTGTGCCCCAGGTGTGTCCTGGATGTCCCCAGGTGTGCCCAGGGGTCCTCAGATGAGCCCCAGGTATGTTTCAGGTGTGTCCAGGTGTGCCCAGGTGTGTCCCAAGTGTCCCCAGGTGTGTCCCAGGTGTGCTCCAGGTGTGTCCCAGCTGTCCCCAGGTGTCTTCCAGGTGTCCCCAACTGTCCCCAGCTGTGCCCAAGTCCCTCCCAGGTGTCCCCCAACTTCCCCTAGGTGTCCCCAGTGTGCTCCAGGTGTGCCCAGGTGTCCCCCAGGTCTCTCCCAGGTGTGCCCAGGCTCCCCCCAGGTGTCCCAGATGTCCCCAGGTGAGCTCCAAGTGCGCCCCAGCTGTCTCCAGGTGTCCCCAGCTGTCCCCCAGGTCCCTCCAAGGTGTGCCCAGGTGTCCCCAGGTGTGCTCCAGTTGTCCCCACATCCCTCCCAGGTGTCCCCAGGTGTGCCCTCGGTGTGTCCCCACCCCCCAGCTGTCTCCAGGTCTCCCCAGGTTTGTCTCAAGTGTCCCCCAGGTCCATCCCAGGTGTCCCCATGTGTCCCCAGGTGCCTCTCCCCAATTTTGGGGGTCCCACCCCATCCCCCCATCAGCAGCACCCAGCGCCAGCAGCTCAGGGATTTATTGACCCCGCCCACCTGTGCGAAAGGGGCGGGGCTAAGCGGGGTGTGTCCGAGAGGGGCGTGGCCAAGCGGGGGGCGGGGCTTACACACTCACGAGCGCACACTGAGAGCACAGAGCAGTGGGGGGAGGGGAGCGCCGGGGGGGATTTGGGGGGTCCCGAACACCTGGGACCCCACCCAGGGTGGATTTGGGGGTTCCTGGGGGGATTTTGAGGTCCCCCAGGGGATTTTGGAAAGTCCCAGGGGGATTTGGGCGGGATTTTGGGGGGTCCTGATCCCTTGGGATGGATTTTGGGGAGTCCCGTGTGGATTTTGGGGGGTCATAACCCCTGTGACCCTCCCCAGAGTGGATTTTGGGGTCCCCCAGTGGATTTCAGGACACCCCAGGGTGGATTTGGGGGGGTCCCAGGGGGATTTGGGGTGAATTTTCAGGGGTCCCGGGTACACAACCCCCCCATTTGTGGGGTCGCAAAGCAGGGATGGATTTCAGGGTGTCCCAAGGGGTTTTTGGGGTGTCCCCAGGGAGAATTTGGGGTGACCCGCGGGGGGCTTTTGGGGGCATCCCCATGGCAGTGTTGGGGAGGTTTTGGGGTGTCCCAAGGGGAATACTGGGGATATCCCCAGGAGGGTTTTTGGGGCATCCCCAGTGGTATTTTGGGGCGCCCCCAGGGAGTTTTTGAGGTGCCTCCGGGTGGACTTTTGGGGTGCTCCCAGGGCAGTTTTGAGGGGATTTTGGGGTGCTCCTGGGGGCTTTTGGGAGAATTTTTGGGTTGTTTCCAGAGAGTTTTTGGGGCAACCCCAGTGGTATTTTTTGGTGTCTCCAAGAGGATTTTTGGAGTATCCCCAGGGCAGTTTCAGAGGAGTTTTTTGGGGTGCCCCCAGGTGGATTTTTGGGGTGCCCCAGGTAGGTTTTGGGCATCCTCAGGGCAGTTTTTGGGGGGGGGGGGTTGGGGAGCCCCCCCTGGAAAATTTTGTAACTCCCCAAGGAGGTTTTTGGGGTGTTCCCAGATTTTTGGGATATCTTCAATGGGAATTTTGCGCTACCCACAGTAGGATTTTTGGGGCACCCCTGTAGGTATTTTGGGGCTCCCCGGGTGTGTTTTTGGGGTGTCCCTGGTGGTATTTTGGGGTGCCCCCAGGCAGGTTTTTTGTGTGTCTCCAGGGGAGGTTTTGGGGTACCCCCGGTGGGATTTTTGGAGTGCCCCGTGGGTATTTTGGAGCTCCCCGGGTGTGTTTTCGGGGCTCCGTGGGTGTATTTTTGGAGCATCCCTGGGTGTATTTTTGGGGTACCCTCAATGGGATTTTTGGGGTGCTCCGTTGATATTTTGGGGTGCCCCGTTGGTATTTTGGGGCTCCCCGATGTGTTTTGGGGCTCAGTCGGAGAAGAGGCTGGCGAAGCTCTGCCGCAGCGCCCGCAGGCTCTCGGGGGGGCCCTGCTCGGGGGCGGGGCTGCGGAATTTGGGGGTTCAGGGGGGGCCCAGGGGGCGGAGCCTCGCCTCTCCCCTCCCAGGGGGCGGGGCTTAGCCCCTCACTTCCCCCCAGAGCCCCCCCAACTTACCTGGGGGGAGGGGCGGAGCCGGGTTTGGGGGCCAGCACGGGTTTGGGGGCGATGGGCGGGGCCTGGGGGCGGGGCTGGCGCGTGGTGGGCGTGGCCTGCGGGGCGGGGGGGCGGGGCGTGGCAGAGGAGGGCGGGGCTTGGGGACGGGGCTGGGGAACGGAGGGGGAGCGCTGGAGGCGGGGCTGGGGGGAGGTGAGTGGGGCTTGGGGGCGGGGCTGGGGTGACGTTGCCGGGCCTTGGGGGCGGGGTTGAGGGGCTGAGGTGGGTGGGGCTTGGGGGCGGGGCTGTGAAGTGGGCGGGGCTTGTGGCCTTGGCTGGGGGGACACAGCTGGGCCGGGTGGGCGGGTTTGAGAAGTGGGCGGGGCTTGAGGGCGGGGCTGTGAGGTGGGCGGGGCTTGAGGGCGAGGTTGGGATGTGGGAGATATTTGTGGGCGTGGCTGCGGGGGTGTGGGCGGGGCTTGTGGGCGGGGCTGCGGGCTGGGTGGGCGTGGCTGAGGCGCCGAGGCAGCCAGAGGTGGGCGTGGCTGCAAAGTGGGCGGGGCTTGCGGGTGTGGCTGTGGGGAGCTGGGCGGGGTTTGTGGGCGTGGCTGAGCAGGGCTGGGCGGGGTTTGTGGGCGTGGCTGCGGGGAGGTTGGGCGGGGTTGGGGCGTGGCCGTTGGGGATTGGGGGCGGGGCTGTGCAGCGAGTGGGCGGGGCTGGGCGGGGCCTCGTGGCTGAGCAGGGCCTGGCTGGGTGGGGCGTGGTGAAGCTCCGCCCATTTGTGGGCGGGGCTGCCCCTGCGGCTGTGGGCGGGGCTGGGCGGGGCCAGATGGAGGCGGAGCACCTGGAGGGAAGAGAAACAGCTGAGGGGGCGGGACTTGGGGCAGGTAAGGTCCCAATTCTGGGCAAAATCCCCCAATTTTGGGGGCGCGTGGGCACATTTGGGGTGTCCCACGGAGGGAGGGGTTCCCAAAATTTGGGCGTCTGGAGCAATTTTTAGGAATTATTTTAAATTTAGCAAATTTTAGGATTTGGGGCAAATTTGAGGAGGATTTTTGGAGAAACCGCCAATTTTTCCAAGTCCCTTTTTGGCAAAAATGTTCCCATTTTGAGCAAAAGCAGATCCCTCAAATTTCAGGATGTAAATCCCAAAATTCCAGATTTTTGGAGGCTCCCAAAATTTTTTGGGGTCACTCACCCTGGGGCTGGGGTCTCTGCTGGGGGGGGGTCCCCGGCCGGGGGGTCCCTGACGTCACCGACACCTGCAGGGCACAGAAAGGGGGGGCGGGGTTTCATTTTGGGGGTTCCGGGAAGCACCTGGAGGGGATGTGGGGGGAGGTGCGGTTACCTGTGGGCGTGGCCGGGCAGGGGAGGGGCTGCGGGGGCGGGGCAGCTCCTCCCTCATCCGCTCCAGCACCAACTCCACGATCTGGGCCTGGTCCTCGGCCGCGCCCGGGCCCAGCAGGGGCAGCCATGAACCCAGAACCTGCAGGTGGGCGGGGCTTAGGTGTGTGTGTGCCCCAGGTGTGCTCCAGGGTGTGGGGGTGGGGATCTCCAAGTGTATGAGAGGGCACCAAGTGTCTCAGGTGCATGCCAGCTGTGCCCCAGGTGTGCCCCTCCATGTCCCAGGTGTTCCCAGGTGTTCTCCAGGTGTCCCCAGGTGTGCCCAGGTGTTTCTCAAGTGTGCCCAGCTGTGCCCAGGTGTAGCCAGGTGCGCCCAGGTGTTCCCATGTGTCCCAGGTGTGCCCCAACTCTGCCCAGGAATTCCTCAGGTGACCCAGGTATGCCCCAGGTGTGCCCAGGTGTGCATAGATCTCCCCAGCTGTCCCCAGCTGTGCCCCAGGTGTCTCTAGGTGGTCCCCAGGTGTGCCTAGCGATGTCCAGGTGTGCCAAAGGTGCTCCAGCTGTGCCCCAGGTGTCCTCCAGATGTGCCCCAGGTCCCCCAGGTGTTCTCCAGCTGTGCCCAGACATGCCCAGGTGTGTCCCATGTGTCTCAGGTGTCCCCAGGTGTTCCCGAGGTGCCCTTCGTGTGCCCAGGTGTCCCCAGCTGTTTCTCAGTCGTCCCCCAGGTGTGCCCAGATCCCCCATGTGTCCCAGGTGTCCCCAGCTGTGCCCAGCCATTCCCAGGTGTGCCCAGGTGTCCCCCAGGTGTTCCCCAGCTGTGCCCAGCCATTCCCAGGTGTGCCCAGGTGTGCCCAGGTGTCCCCAGGTGTGCCCAGCCGTGCCCAGGTGTTGCGGGTACCTGCACGATCTGCTCCTGCCCGTCGGGGCCCCTCAGCGCCTCCACCCCGCAGATGTCGACGCCCCCGAAGAGGCCGGCGCAGGCGTCAACCCACGCCCGGTGCCTGCCGAGGGGCGGGGCTCAGCGGCCACACCCACCTCCTTGGCCACTCCCCCTCACATTGCCCACCACCCCCTCAGACTGAGCAGAGCCCTACCCAAAGGCCCGCCCCTTTCTAAATGGCCACGCCCACAAAAACCCGCTGGTCACACCGCTTCTTATGGCCCTGCCCATCTAAGCCACGCCCCTTCCCACACTGCCCCACCCCCTCAATAACCCCGCCCCCACTGCATAGCCCCACCTCTTTCTGCATAGCCACACCCACGTTGTGCTAGCCACACCCCTTTTTGCATAGCCCCGCCCCTCTCTGCATAGCCACACTCCTCTGTCATGGCCACACCCCTTTCATAGCCACGCCCCTTCTCTCATAGCCACACCCCTTTCTTTAAAGCCACACTCCTCCCGTATAGCCCCACTCATTCTCTCCCAGCCCCCAATTGCTGCTCCACCCCCACCTGAGCCCCTCCCAAAGCCACGCCCCTTTGAGCCCCGCCCCCTCGTACTCACCTGGGGCTGAGCGCAACTGGCTCCACCTGCGGCCCCTCCCCCGCCGTGTCCCCGCCCCCCAGGGACCACCTGGGGAGACATGGGGGGGGGGGGGGTAGTGAGGCCCCTCCCCCATTCACACAGGCCACGCCCTTTCACAGACCACGCCCCCCAGGCTGAGGCCCTGCCCATTCCTGCAGACCCCGCCCTGGAGCACACCAGGCCCCAGGCTCATTCCCAGTGTTCCCAGTTCCCCAGTCCCTCCCAGTCCCATTCCCAGCGTTCCCATTGCTCCCAGTCCCCCCAGTCTCATCCCAGTCCCCCAGTTCCCCCAGTCTCACTGCAGGGCCCTGTACTGGCTCCCCAGTGTTCCCAGTCCCATTCCCAGTCCCCTCCCAGTGTTCCCAGTGGTCCCAGTTTCCCCAGTCTCACTGCAGTGCCCGGTACTGCTCCCCCCAGTCCTATTCCCAGTCCATTCCACTCCCATTCCCAGTGTTCCAGTCCCCCCAGTCTCACCGCGGCGCTCTGTACTGGTCTCCCCAGTTTCCCAGTCCCATTCCCGGTCCCTCCCAGTGTTCCCAGTGTTCCCAGTGTTCCCAGTCTCACCGCAGGGCCCTGTACTGGTCCCCGATCCTCTGCACCCGCAGTTTCTCGGTTCCCACGGGGCCCCCCCGCAGCAGCGCCCCCGCCCGGGCCCCGCCCATGGCAGCGGCCACGGCGCCCAGCACCTGCGGGGAGCCCACGCGCACCTGGGCAGGTGAGAGAGGGACAGGTGAGAGAGGGACAGGTGAGGGACAGGTGACAGCACCTGCGGGGAGCCCACGCGCACCTGGACAGGTGAGAGAGGGACAGGTGAGAGAGGGACAGGTGAGGGACAGGTGACAGCACCTGCGGGGAGCCCACGCGCACCTGGGCAGGTGAGAGAGGGACAGGTGAGGGACAGGTGACAGCACCTGCGGGGAGCCCACGCGCACCTGGACAGGTGAGAGAGGGACAGGTGAGAGAGGGACAGGTGAGGGACAGGTGACAGCACCTGCGGGGAGCCCACGCGCACCTGGGCAGGTGAGAGAGGGACAGGTGAGGGACAGGTGACAGCACCTGCGGGGAGCCCACGCGCACCTGGGACAGAGGGGACAGGTGAGACAGGGACAGGTGAGAGAGGGACAGGTGAGGGACAGGTGACAGCACCTGCGGGGAGCCCACGCGCACCTGGGCAGGTGAGAGAGGGACAGGTGAGGGACAGGTGACAGCACCTGCGGGGAGCCCACGCGCACCTGGGACAGAGGGGACAGGTGAGACAGGGACAGGTGAGAGAGGGACAGGTGAGACAGGTGAGAGAGATGGGACAGTCCCCAGCACCTGCGGGGAGCCCACGCGCACCTGGGACAGGTAAGGGACAGGTAAGGGACAGGTGAGACAGGGACAGCACCTGCGGGGAGCCCACGCGCACCTGGACAGGTAAGGGACAGGGACAGGTGAGACCAAAGGGAACAGGTGAGATGGGGACGGAGGGGACAGGTGACATAGGGACAGGTCCCCAGAACATGCGGGAAGCCCACGCGCACCTGGACAGATAAGGGCCAGGGACAGGTGAGAGCAAAGGGGACAGGTGAGATGGGGACAGGTGAGATGGGGACAGGTCCCCAGCCCCCTCCCAGGAGCCCACACACACCTGGGACAGGGGGGGGACAGATGAGATTGGTGGGACAGGTGGGAATTTATGGGACAGGTGAGGGAACAGGTGAGGTGGGACACATTGAGCCACACCCACACAGAGCCACACCCACATACAGCCACACCCTGCTGGCCACACCCACATTGAACCACACCCTGCTGGCCACACCCACACACACAGCCACACCATTGGCCAGGCCCACAATAAACCACCCCCACACTGAGCCACGCCCACCTCAGGCCCCGCCCCTCACAGGCCCCGCCCCACTCACCTGTCCCACCCCGGCGGGGGCGGGGCTGAGCGTCACCGTCATGGGGAAGGTGGGGGCGGTGAGCTGGGGACACCAGTGACACCAGTTAGAGACCAGTGACACCAGTTAGAGACCAGTGACACCACTCCCAGTTCCCTCCCAGTCCCTCCCAGTGCTCCCAGTGCTCACCAGTCCCTGGGGCCGGTTGCAGAAGCGCTGGGGCACCAGTGGAAAGGCCTCATGGCCCAGTTCCCGCTGCAGCCGAGCCAACTGGGCAAACTGGGAGCAACTGGGAATGTCAGGGGCCGGCCGAGAGCCCTGCCCAGTGCTCCCAGTCTGACCCCCAGTATCGCTCCCAGCTCCTCCCAGTTCATTCTACGCCCTCCCAGCGTCTCCCAGATCCTCTCCCAGTGCTCCCAGTGCTCCCAGTTCCCTCCCAGTATCCCTTAAATCCTCCATCAGTCCCCCCAGTTCCCCCTCCCAGTGCTCCCAGTTCCCCCTCTCAATCCCTCCCAGTCTTCCCCATTCCCTCTCCCAGTCCCTCCCAGTGCCCCCAGTCCCTCCCAGTCCCCCCAAATCCCCTCCCAGTGCTCCCAGTTCCCCCTCCCATTCCCCCCCAGCCCCCCCATTCTCCCCCCCACTCCCCCCCAGTTACTCCCAGTGCCTCCCAGTCCATCCCAGTTCTCATCAGTGCCCCCAGTCGCTCCCAAATCCTCTACCAGTCATTCCCAGTCCCTCCCAGTGCCCCCAGTTCCCCTCCAAGTCCCCTCCCAGCCTCTCCCAGTCCCCTCCAAATCCCTTCCCAGTCCCTCCCAGTGCTCCCAGTCCATCCCAGTTCTCACCAGTACCCCCCCATTCCCTCTCCCAATCCCTTCCAGTGTTCCCAGTCCCTCCCAGTCGCCCCCAAATCCCCTCCCAGTTCCCCAGTCCTTCCCAGTGCCTCCCAGTCCCCCCTCAGTCTCTCCCAATCCCCTCCCAGTCCCTCCCAGTCCCCCATTCCCTCTCCCAGTGCCCTCAGTTCCCCCTCCCAGTCTCTCCCAGTTCCCTCCCAGTCCTGCCCAGTGTTCCCAGTCCCTCCCATTCCCCCTCCCAATCCCCCCAAATCCCCTCCCAGTCCCTCCCACTGCTCCCAGTCCCCACAAATGCCCTCCCAATCCATCCCAGTCCCTCCCAATCCCCTCCCAGTCATTCCCAGTCCCCCCAAAACCCCTCCCAGTCGCTCCCAGTCCATCCCAGTCCTCTCCAATCCCCTCCCAGTCGCTCCCAGTGCTCCCAGTGTCTCACCAGGCAGGGCTGGTGGCTGAAGCCGTACAGGGCGGGGATGGGGTCGCTGCCCGGGACCCCCCCCAGGTGCAATCCCACCAGCAGCCGCCGGGGGGCGCCCCCCGCGCCGCCCTCGGGCTCCTCCCGCACCAGCACAAAATCGGGGCGCACCTTCCTGGGGGGGGGAGGGGGGGACACACACAGGGGGGGGGGGTCAGGGGGTCCCCAAATCCCCCCAGAGAACCCCCAGAATCACAAACAGCAAAATGCCAAAAAATAATAAAAAAAAAAAATTCTGAGATTTTTTTTTTTTTCCCCGAAAATTTTGGTTTTTCACCCTAAATTTGAGAGTAAAATGGGTAAAATCCTCCCTCCCGCACCCCAAAATTTGCAATTTGTGCCCCAAAATCCCCTCAAATCCCCACCTCAAAGTTCAACCTCTAAAATTTGGAATTTGCGCCTCAAAACCCCCTAAAATCTCCTCAACCTCCCCCCCCCACCCCGACCTCCCTTTAAACCCCCAATTTCACACCCAGAACCCCAAATTCAGCCCCAAAAAGGAGAAGGGGACCCCAAATTCCACCCTAAAATAAGGGAAGGGGAAACCAGCACCCCAAGTTCAGCCCTAAGTTGAGGAGGGGACCCCAAATTCAGCTCCAAAACTGGGGGGACCCCAAATTGGAGATAGAAACCCCAAATTGATCCCTAAATTGAGGAGGTAACCCCAAAATCAGCCCCAAAAAGGAGAAGGGAATCCCAAAATAAAGGAGGGAGAAACCAGCACCCCAAATCCAGCCCTAAATTGAGCAGGGAACCCCAAATTCAGCCAGAGGCAACCACAAATTCACCCCAAAAAGGAGAAGGGAACCCCAAATTCAGCCCCAAATCAATGCAGGGACCCCAAATTCAGCCCAAAATTCAGGAGAAGGGATCCCAAACTCCACCCCAAAAAGGAGTGACCCCCAAATTAAGCCCAAACTTAAGGAGGGGACCCCAAACTCCACCCCAAAATAAGGGGGGCACCCCAAATTTCAGCCCCAAAATTAAAGGGGGGCACCCCCAGCACCCCAAAATTGAGGAGGGGACCCCAAATTTGGGGAGGGGTCCCCATTCCGTACCTGGAGCCGCCCCGGGCGGGGTCGATGCTGACGCTGAGGGCGCCGTGGGTGGAGGCGGCCAAGGAGAGCTCCGAGAACTGGGCCTGGGGGACCCCAAAATCCAGGGGGGGACACCCCAAAAACCGCCGGGAGCCCCCCTAAACCTCCCTGGGACCCCTCAGTCCCGCCCCAAACCTGGCCAGGGCCCCGGATCGGGTTAAAAAAAGAGATTTTTAGGAAAAATTCTGATAAGAGGGGGTTAAAATTCACTGAAATTTTAGGAGGCGCCCCACACCCCAAAATTTTGGTTGTTTCCCCAAAAATTTGTCCTGAAACCCCAAATTTTATGGAGGAACTGGGGGGGTTTGGGAACCCGGACCCCAAAATCTCCAGGGAACCCCAAAAATCTTTGAATTGAGTGAAATAAGAAAAGATTTTGGGGCACCCCAAAATTTCCCTCAAGAAACCCCAAAATTTGTCACAGGGCACCCCAAAAGTCTTGGAATTGAGACAAGGTTTTGGAGTACCTCGAAGTTTCCCTTAAGAAACCCCAAAATTTTTCTCAGGGACCCCAAAATTTCCCTCAGGGGACCCCAAATCCTCCCCAAACCTGAACCCCAAAATTGGGGAGGGATGGGGATTCAGAGCACCCCAAAATTTGGGCAGGACCCCAAAATCCAGGGAAATCCCAAATGCAGAACCCCCAAAATCTCCCAGGACCACCCCCCAAACCAACCCGAACCCCCAAAATGGGGGGAACCCCAAAATTTTACAGGGGACCCCAAAATCTGGGGTGACCCCAAAGCATTGAGAGACCCCAAATTTTAGGAGTGACCCCAAATCTGGGAGGGGACCCCAAATTTTTGAAAGACCCCAAATTTTTAATGGGGAGGGTCCCAAAATTAGAGAAGGGAGGTCCCAGATTTTTAGGGGGGACCCCAAAATTTAAAGGGGGGGGGGGTCCCCAAAACTCACCTGCTCCACCCTCAGCTCCACGTCCCCGGTGCACGGATTTGCCCTTGAAGGGTTTCACCCTGAGGGGGGGACCCCAAAATTGGAGAGATCCCCCCCAAAATTCTCATCCCCCCACCACCCCCAAATTAATCCTCATCCCCCCCCACCCAAATTAAAACTCCACAGGTGGCGCCAAAAATTTGAGATCCTCCCCCCCAAAAAAAGAGACCCCCCCCCCAAAATCTGAATCCCCCAAAAAATCTGAGACCCTTCCCCCGAAAATCTGAGACCACCCCCAAATAGGAGACCCCCCCCCCCCCAATGTGAGACCCCCTCCCCAAAAAACCGGGGGGGTCCCAAAGGAGATTTGGGGGTCCCAGGGTGGGGGGGGGGGGGGGGGGCATTGGGGGGGGTCCCAGGAAGGGGGAATTCGGGGAGGGGGGTCTCAGAATGGGGAGATGGAATTGGGGGGGTCCCCATCAGTGGAATTTGGGGGGGGGTCCCCATTATTGAGAATTTGGGGGGAGGTCCCAGGGTTGGAGAGAATTTGGGGGGGTTCCCATCACTGGAATTGGGGGGGGGGGGGGGTCCTAGGAGAGGGAATTTGGGGGGGCCGTCCCAGGGTTGGAGGGAATTTGGGGAATTTTGGGGGGGGGGGTCCCATGAAGGGGGGGAATTGTGGGGGGGGGGGGTCCCCATTATTGGGAATTTGGGGGGGAGGTTGCAGGATGGGAATTTGGGGGGGGGGGCCCATCAGTGGAATTTGGGAGGGGGGGGGCCAAGAAGGGGGGAATTTGGGGGGAGGGTCCCAGGGTTGGAGAGAATTTGGGGGGGGGGGTTGCAGGATTGGAATTTTGGGGGGGTCCCATGAGGGGGGAATTTGATGGGGGGGTCCCCATCAATGAAATTTCGGGGCGGGGGGGGGTTCTCATGATGGGGGGAATTTAGGGAGGGTCCCCATTATTGGGAATTTGGGGGGGGTCCCATCACTGTAATTTGGGGGGGGGGGGGTCCCATGAGGAGGGAATTTCGTGGGGGGGTCCCATGACTGTAATTTGGGGAGGGGTCCCATGACAGGGGGGAATTTGGAGGGGGGGGGATCCCATGCATGGAATTTGGGGAAGGTCCCAGGATGGGAATTTGGGGGGGTCCCCATGAGAGAGGGATTTAGGTGCAGATCCCATGACTGTAATTTGGGGGGGGGGGGTCCCACGAGGGGGGTTTGAGGGGGGGGTCCCATTATTGTAATTTGGGTGGGGGGGTCCCCTCACTGTAATTTGGAGGGGGGGGTCCCATGACTGCAAATTGGGGGGGGGTCCCATTACCTTAACTTGGGGGGAGTCCCATCACTGTAATTTGGGGAGGGGTCCCACGAGGGGGGGGTGGGATTTGGGGGGGGGTCCCATGGCTGTAAATTGGGGGGTGTCCCATGGCTGTAAATTGGGGGGGGGGGAGGTCTCATGAGGGGGGGGGAATTTAGGGGAGGGGGGTCTCATCACTGTAATTTGAGAGGGGGGTCCCACGAGGGGGGGGAATTTGAGGGGGGGTCCCATCACTGGAATTTGAGGGGGGTCCCATGACTCTAATTTTGAGGGGGGGGTCCCATGGCTGTAATTTGGGGAGGGGTCCCAGGAGGGGGGTGATTTGAGGGGGGGGGGGGGTCCCACGTCTGTAATTTGGGGAGGGGGTCTCTCCGTACGTACCAGTCCGTGCCGGGGGGGGGCGATCACGAGCAGCAGCGGCGCCGTGGGGGGAGGGGTCCGCGGGGGTCTCCCCGCCCCTCCCCCAGCTGGGGGGGGGGTCTCCGCCCATCCCCCCCCCCCGCCAGGAAATTCCCGTCCGAGAGGCGGCGCCGCAGGAAATCCATCCTGGGGGGGGTCCTGGGGGGGTCCTGGGGGGGTCCTGGGGGGGGTTTTGGGGGGGTTTCTAGGGGGGGTCACGTAGGACTCACCTGAGGGGGGGGTCACATGAGGGGGTCTTGGGGAGGTTTTGGGGTCACCTGGGGGGGTTTTGGGGGGCGTCTCACCTGGGGGTCACCTGTAGAATCACCTGGGACTTACCTGGGGGGGGTCCTGGGGGGGATTTGGGGGGTCCCGAGGGGGGTTTAGGGGTGTTGGGGGGGGTCAGGGGCAATAGGGGAGGGGGGTTTATGGGGGGAGGGGGGGGGCAATAGGGGGAGGGGGTCTCTGGGGGATGGGGAGGGGGGCGGCGGGGCCGGAGCCGCGGCCGGGGGGGTCTCTGGGGTGGGGGGGATGAAAGGGCGGGGGGGCTCTGGGCATGGCGCCCCCCCAAAAATCCCCCCCCCAAAAATCCTCCCTTAGAGCTCCATCCTCCCTAAAAACCACCCCAAAATCCTCCGGAAAATCCCCCCAAAATCCTCCTGAAACCTCCCCAAAAAATTCTCTTCTAGAGCTCCATCCCCCCAAAATCCCCCCCAAAGAACCCCCCCCACAAAAAATCCCCCCAAAAAATTCCCCCCCAAAAATCCTCCCCAAAACCATCCCCGGGCGGCCCCGCCCCCGGCCGCGTCACTTCCGGCCACGCCCCCGACCACACCCTGCGAGTGACGGGCGTGGTCTGTCTATGACGTCACATCAGCCACACCCCTGGTTCTGCAGAAAGGGGCGGGGCGTGGAAGGGTGGGGGACCGTGACGTCATCGCAGCGATTTGCGTGCGGCCCCCGCCCCCCTCCCGTGCCCGCCCCTCCCCCACTCGCTCGGAGCCGTTTCCATGCTGGGATTTTATTGGGGGGAGGGGCCAGGGGGGGGTTTTGGGGTAAATCCGGGCGGGTTTGGGGGTCCCGGGGGGTCCCACGAGGTCACCGAGAGGCTCCGTCCTCTGGGGGGGAGAGGGGAGAGGGGGGGAGGGGTCAGTGAGGGGGGGGACCCTGCCCCTCCCCCACCCGGGGATTCCAATTGCCCCCTCCCCCCACCCATAAAAGACCCATCCTGCCCCTCCCCCCATGGACCAACACGCCCATCCCCCCATAAGAGCCTCCCCCTCCCCCACCCCGGGGGGGATTCCCCTGCCCCTCCCCCCCAATTGAACCCACCCTGCCCCTCCCCCCTTTGGGGGATCCCCTCTGCCCCTTCCCCCCCAGGGTTTCCCTCTGCCCCTCCCCCCCCCTTTGGGGGTATTCCTTGCCCCTCCCCCCACTCCCATGCCATTTTCCCCTCCCCCCTCGGGGGATCCCCCCCCCGCCCCTCCCCCCCCGTACCCTCGGGCTGGGGGCAGGGCCGCACGTTCCTGCACGGTCTCGTCTCCTCCAGGCGGAGCCGCTGCCCCTCGAGGGGGGCGCAGAGCGCGCGGGGAGCGCCCCAGAACGAGACCGGGGCGAGACCGGGGGAGCCCACGCGGGGCACCGAGAGCCTGGGGGGGCAATGGGGTCAGCTCTGACCCATGGAGACCCCATAGACCCCATGGAGACCCCATAGAGACCCTACAGACCCCATAGAGACCCCAAAGAGCCCACTCGGGGCACCGAGAGCCTGGGGGGCAGTGGGGGGATTGGGGGTCAGCTCTGGGACCCCACAGACCCCATAGAGCCCATAGAGACCCCATAGATCCTATAGAAATCCTACAAACCATATAGAGACCCCATAGAGCCCACGCGGGGCACCAAGAGCCTGGGGGGGAACGGGGGGATTGGGGTCAGGTCTGACCCATAGAGACCCCACAGACCCCACAGATCTCATAGGAATCCTACAGACCCCACAGAGACCCCAGAGATCCACAGGGACCCCACAAATTCCATTGAAACCCCACAGAACCCAGAGATCTCCCCCAACCCCACAGATCCCCCCCGCCCTATAAACCCCCCCTTGACCCCACAGTCCCCCCTCAGCCCCATAGAAGCCCCCAGCCCCATAAATTCCCCCAGCCCCACTCACGGGTAGTCGGGCAGGGCTGGGCCGGCACTCGCGGCTGCGGCTCCGTGTGGGGCTGGCCCCACAGGGGGGGGTGCAGAGCCCCCAGGGGCTCCAGTCCGACCAGTTCCCTTTCACTGGGGGGGGCACAGGGGGCGTCACCCCCGCCCCACAGCGCCCATGGGGCAGGGGGGGCTGCTGGGGGGCTCCCTCTGATATCCCCCAGGATCTATGGGGCAGCTCTAGGGGGTCCCAACATGATCTATGGGGCAGCTCTGGGCTGTGCTGGGGCTCCCCCCTGATCTGTGGGGCAGCCCTGGGGAGGTTTTGGGGCTCCCCCTGATCTATGGGGCACTTCTGGGGGGCTATAGGTTCCCAGTAGGATCTATAGGGCAGCTCTAGGGTGTTATGGGGCTCCCCCAGGATCTATAGGGCAGCTCTAGGGGGTCCCAACACAATCTATGGGGCAGCCCTGGGGTGCTATAGGCTCCCCCAGGATCTATGGGGTGCTATAGGGTGCTTTGGGGGCGCTATGGGGCACTCACAGACACAGTTCTGGGCGCTGTAGCAGGCCCGGAGCTCGATGGATCCCCCCTGGTCCGTGGGGCAGATCTGGGGCTACCCCAGGATCTATGGGGCAGCTCTGGGGTGCTATGGGGCTATCCCAAGATCTATGGGGTGCTATGGGATCCCCCCAGGATCTATGGGGCGCTATGGGGCACTCACAGACGCAGTTCTGGACGCTGTAGCAGGCGCGCACCTCGATGGATCCCCCCCCGTTCCGTGGGGCAGACCTGGGGTGCTATGGGCGTGCTATGAGGCCATCCCTGGATCTATGGGGTGCTCTGGAGTGCTCTGGGGTGCTCTGGGGCGCTATGGGGCGCTGTGGGGCAGCCATGGGGCACTCACAGAGGCAGTTCTGGACGTTGTAGCAGGCGCGCACCTCAATGGATCCCCCCTGTTCTGTGGGGCAGATCTGGGGTGCTATGGGGCTATCCCAGGATCTATGGGGTGCTTTGGGGCTATCACAGGATCTATGGGGTGCTATGGGATCCCCCCAGGATCTATGGGGTGCTCTGGGATCCCCTCAGGATCTATGGGGCGCTATGGGGCACTCACAGAGGCAGTTCTGGACGTTGTAGCAGGCGCGCACCTCGATGGATCCCCCCCGTTCCATGGGGCAGGCGGCGCCCCCCGGGCTGTGCCCCTCGCACCGCCCGCGTCCGTTTCTGCTGCCCCACGGCCTGCCTGCAGCTGATGTCACCCCACGGCCGCTGGCACGGGCTCCAGGGACCCCAGGGACCCCAGAGCACCGGGGCTGGGGGAAGATGGGGGGTCAGTGGGGGAGGGGGGACACTGGGGACAGTGCAGAGACAGTGCAGGGACAGAACAGGAGCTGGGAGTTTCTTTCCCTTTTCCTTTTCCCCTTTTCTTTTTCTCTTTCTCTTTTCCTATTTCCCCTTTTCTTTTTCTCTTTCCCTTTTCCTGTTTCACCTTTTCTTTTTCCCTTCTTTTTTCCTTTGTCTCTACCATTTTCCTTTTTTTGCTTTTATTTTCCCTTTCCCCTTTACATTTCCTTTTCCTTTTTTTATTCTCTTTTTCTTTTGCCTTTTCCTTTTCCCTTTCCTCTTCTCCCTTTTTCTTTTCCCTTTCCCCCTTCCTTATCCCCTTTTCTTTTTCCCTCTTTCCTTTTACATTTCCCTTTTT